AGCGGTTTCACTCCGAGCCCTCTGACATTTGTCTGTAAGAAGAACAGAGACAAGTTGTCTATGTCGAACTAGATCAAGTTGGGTAAAATGTTTTAATCCTGCTTACACTGCTGCTATTCTCTATCTGACAACTGCAGGCATTCAGTTGTGCCTCTATTGCTCTTAAAGAATGTAATGAATCAATATTGAATATCTGTCGGCTGCCTCGCTGCATCTGCTCCGTCAGTTGTTACTTCCTTCACCCTCTGAAGAAAACACAAGTTTCACAGCTCTGGTTTCCTTGCGCAACACTTCAGTAACATACAGCCACAGTATAGGAAACTTTTAAGTACATTTTGTGGCTGGGGAATCTGACCAGTTGAGATAAAGTGAGGAGCTGCAGGCTGTCAATGGATGTCATTGGTCTTCTTGTTTTCCTTCAAACTTGCTATTGTGGTTCAGCCAGTTCACATCACGTGTTTCCATTATGATTGATTCTTCCTAACCACAAATACACTAGCTGCTAAATAATGTATTGTTTTAAGGTATGGAGACAACAGCTGAAGGAAAATATATCATGTAACTCCTAGAGCTGCAACGATAAGTCGATTGACAGAAAAATTAACTATTTTGATTAACCAATGATTTGATTCGTGCAAAAGTGGTAGTAAATGTAGTTTGAGCCTCTCAAATATGGAAAGATCTTGCTTTTTCTGTTTTCTATCATATGCAATGGTCTGTTCAAAACAAAAGATCCACTATTTTCTGATTTGTTGATACTAAAATATTAGTTAATTAACGTAAGAAAATTATCTGTTGATTAATCGATAATGAAAATAAAAGTAAGCGGTCCTAGAAGGTTCTTTATTCAATGGAACCAGATGCTTTTACAACATCTGATCTGACACACAATTCCTTACCCATTTGGATATTGCTGAAATAGTACAACTTCGCTGGTCTTATTTGGGTGTTGTCTCTCCTCCAGGTCAGAGAAACAAGTAATTTTTCTGTGAGAGGGTGCAGAACTTAAGTTCCCTCCGCAGCCAATAGGAGAGACCTTGAACCTCACATATATCCAGCGCAGTACGTGCCTACATGGTAATTCCAGTACCATACTCATGAAATGCTGGTATGATGTTTTGTGTAATTCCAATGAACCACATAAGCTGCTTTCACTAAAACAACCTTCCTTCCGTATAGCCTCCCGAGAATTGTTTTCCTCTTCTGTTTGTATCCTCTTTGCATTGTGATGAAATACATTGTGAGCTAGATTGTCTGTAGTGGCCACGTTTTAATAATAATAGATTACATTTGAATAGCGCCTTTCAAGGGACCCAAGGCCGCTTTACATGGTGAACAAACAAAAAACAAAAGGGGCAAAATAATAAAGTAAAAAATTAAATAAATAGCCGTAGGAGAGAAGCAGGGGGACTGTGATGGGTTAGGGGTCAAAGGCCATGGTGAACAGGTGCATTTTTAATGATGACTTGAAGATGTCCATGGAAGCAGGCATTTTAGACAGGTTAGCATGCCTAAATATATGAACTAGTGATTTCTGGTGTCCCAGTGTCGGCCCATGTGGTGTGGCCTTCATCTTTTCTCAAGGAGTTGCTGACTTATTTGTGAACCCTTGTTCCACTGGAGGGAAGTTTTATAGGGTTTCAAGACTCTGGTAATGCTGTTTCAAAATATGTTTGAACCCTGACATGAATCCAAGTGTGGTTGAACCTAGAAATGCAACAATTAGTTGATAGACAAAAAGGGATTCATCAACTATTTTGATAATTGATTGAACATTAAAATAATTATTCATGCAGAAATGCCTGGAATGCTGAGTTTTTCAATTTTACACCATATTAGACCGAATGTATTGGGTTTTTGACTGAAAAAACATGACTTTCATGAACTGGGATATACGTTTGATTAATGAATCGAGTAAAAAGTCTTCAGCTTATGCGATGTGAATTTAATCAATTAAGTTGCAGCTCTTGTTGAAACACTAACTGCCTTTAAGAAATGTTAAGGTGAGGTGATGATCATCATAGACATTTGTTAAGTTAGGTTTTAGAGTTTTGTGATGGATGCTATTACAGTATTTAGTGTATCTACTTGTACTGCATATCATTGAAAAATGTTGTCTAGCAACCTGAAACCCAAATACCAGTATGGCGTGGTTGAGTTGCTGGTAATAGTGATTCAGAATGAACTGTAACTCATTCATGCTTTACCGGGAATGTACTTGAGTGCAAAACCAGAAGTATCTGAAAGTACAAGTTGGTGGCTTCAGAGGTCTTTCTGTTCATGTATCAGTCAGTGTAGCAGAGATGAGTCACCACTGCCTATTTTCATGACTGGCCCTTCAGCATGTCCAGCACCTGCACTTTAAATTAATTTCCCCACACACTGTTGACTCAGTATACAGTTCTTATCTCTGCCTGACTGAACTGAGCTACGAACCCCAACATTTTGACTATTTTCACACATTCTGAGTAAACGGGGAGGGGCTGGACAAACTGTGACTCTCCCTCTGGTATAACTCTGGGCTAAAGATGGATCACGGTTGTGTTATAATGGTAGACTGAAGAGAACAGACATCATTGATACCAGAAAGTTGCAGCCCATTTTTTTATAGCAGACACTGCTTTGCATACCTGAGCACTTTTGGGAACAGGTATGTCAGATGAGCATAACCGCCTACAGAAGTTGCAGATAAAACTCCCCCGCTGTGTCTCTACACTTGCAAAAAAAACACACCAGTCATACTTGAGAAAAGTCACACCCCTTTATATTAGTTCTATATTGTTAAGTACAACCTTTAGACAATGTAGACACAACAGTGTTGACTGGGCTGCATGTACTCTTGGCATGTGCCAACCAGGTGAAGAAAGTTATGGTTTTCCTTGTGATTTCACTTCCTCTTGATGTTGAGGCTAAAACAATAGTGTCCTTCTGTGTGCATAGCTTGTCTGGTCTGTGAGTAATCCTGCAAATGTTGCACAACTGAAAACTCAGGGACTGTGCGTCTATGTCTGATTTAGGGATAAGTTAGGATTTTTTGTGTGAAATTGGGTACTTTCTGTCTCAGCTTCTTCTGTACGTTTCTACTTTAAAGGGGACCTATCATGCAAAATGCACTTTTGTACGTCTTTTATACATGAATATGTCTCCCCGGTGTTCCAGGGAACTCACCAAGTGTCATAAAACACAACCCTCTCTATTTTCCTCCACCCAAATCTCTAAAAAAGGGGCTGCAACGGATCTGATACAGACTGATCCAGATTTGAACACTTTACTGACGTCAGTAAAGTGGCGCTACGGCTATTGGTCAATTCTCCACCTATCAGGGGAATGAGAGGTTGGGCCATTGCTGCTCGAAAGCACTGGAGACGCTGTAGTACATATGCCAAGCCTGTAAGTGGCGCTGTAGTCTGTAGAAGAAGACTTCCCTTGCATGGTTGCCATGGTTGCCCTTCTGTTTATTCTCCGCTGTGGCTCTTTTTCTCCCTCCCCAAGGCAAGCTTTTGCACCTCCTGCTTTAAAACAAATGAATAATGACTCTATATAACCATATCTGAAACTCCCTCCCACCTGACATCCGCAACACTGACTCTCTCCCCATTTTCAAATCACGCCTCAAAACATATCTCTTCACACTCGCATATCCACCCTGATCATTATCCATCACACATCCTCTGTTTTTTATTTATTTGGTTATTTGATTGATATATATACTGCATTGTCTTGTTTATGTCTCTTATGCTGGTGTTATGTATTGTGTATCTTGTTTTTTATGTGTTTGTACGGCGACCTTGAGAGCCTTGAAAGGCGCCTATATAAAATAAATGAATTATTATTATTATTATTATTATTATTATATGTAAGGAATAATGTGCAGCGACGCGGTCATTATGGGGAAAAGAACACCGACAGGCTGATCAGGAGCCCGACGCGAAGCGGACGGATCTAGATCGGCATGAAGGCACATTATGCAATGTGCACATTATCCCGCTTATTACATGGCCACATTCTCGACAAAGTAACGACATGACTCCAATATTAATTGAAATGCTTTTATGGATTTAGAAAATGATTTTATTGATTTAAAAAATAGTTGTATTGATTTAAATTGACATGCATCCGCTTAGAAAAGTAGTCCGTTGTTACTGTTTGAACTAACGTAGTAACGGCAGAAACTGCTTCGATAGCGTTTTTTGAGGATCTTTTTGATTACAGATTTGAAAACATCGTTGCTTGCTTTAAAAGTAGCACACTTCATGATGTCAAACCTTGGAAAGTATCTAGATATCCCTGCCCTAATGCCAAAGTAACTGGCAACTGAATATGTGTCGCTGTTTGATGTCTATGTCTGGACCGCTGCGTAAAAAGGAGGGTTTCTGCCCCATTACTTCTCTTCTTACTTCTATAAGAATAAAACACGGTGGACGGAGATCTCTTTTTCTCCCCCTCTTCTCCCCGCTGCAGCCCAGCAGCTGATCTCAGAGCATGCTCCCCTCTCCTGCAGGGGGGCGTGGTCAGCTGCAGCTCACAGAATCAGCCCCCTGCAAAAACAGCGCTGGAAAAAGCAAATAGAGCGAAATGAGGCATGGCTAAAATGCAGGATCTTTTTGGTATTTTGAACAAAAAACGATATTTATATACTTTATATAGGTATGGCCCTACAATATATTGTTCAAATATAGCATGATAGGTGTCCTTTAATGCAACTCAGAAAAGTTTTACAAAAATTCAGTCAGGCTAAAGATCATGAATTTAAAAGTTTGGTGGGTCAGCAAAAACACGGTATAAAAGCCAGTGCAATAGCAATACAAATCACAAATGCAGTATTGTGTGCTGTGAATGGAAAGTTTGACATATATAGAGACATATCTGATTCTTTGGGGAAATTTGTTAAACAATTTTGGCGCTGCAACGACAAAAGTGTTTCCCTTACGTTAGGGTACTGATGTTAACAGACATTGTGGAAGTGGCAGTCTGACACCGTTATTATTTTTCTCCCTCAGGTCTTTGTAGTGTATCAGCACACTCTTGTCCTCCTACCTTCGCCTCCGCTACCTTTGCCTCATTGACTGCTGTGCAACTCAGCCCTGCTGTCGGCTTTGGTTTCCCCCCCGACTGCCGGAAAAACCATTGAGACAAGAGAGAGGCCTCTGTCTCTAGAACTGCAGTCGACCTTTCTGAGAGCTCTGCCACCCCCTCCTCCTCCTCATTTCACTTCATAACCATAACCTGCAGCTGCCTCACCACAAAGAACGGTTGGCGATTGCTCAGCAGAAGGATCGACCGTTGTCCAGCGCCTGGCCCCGGACTGGTGCTCATTCATTGGGGGAGGGAGGGGAAGGAAGGCAGCTGAACGTTGTGCCGCTTTCCCCGGAGATGAAGCTCCAGGCTGTCATGGAAAACCTGCACAGGCAGCAGAGGGCCAAGCTGCTGATGGAGCAGCAGCAGCTACAGCAGCAAGCCGCCGCCCAACACTCTCAGGTCCGCACCATCGTTGGAGGAGGGGACGAGCCGATGGGGAGCCCGGCCCCCGAGGCGGAGCAGGCCCAGATGGCGGCACTGGCAGCCATGCGTGCCGCTGCCGCCGGGCTGCAGAGGGTCTCGGACAGCCCCATGTCAGACCGCAGCAGCGGTGGCGAGGACGAAGATGACGACGATGACAATGAAGACCGGGAGGAGCATTACAAGGACATGATGGGGTCAGATGAGGAGGAGCAGATGTGAGTCAAGTTATTCTTAACATAATCTGCAGAGTTGCTCTACATTTATTCCTTTTTAAAACAATATTCTGTTTTTAATGTATACAGCAAACGGAAATGGGACGAGGAAGACTTCGAAGGCGAGATGGAAGAAGACTTTGATGACGACCTGGCGGAGGAGGGTCTGCCAACGGGCCATGAAGCTGTGGCTCCAGGGAAGGGAATCCTCCTGCTACCGCACCGTCAGCTCCACCCTCACTCTCAGCTGCTGAAGGCCCGGCCCAGCGTCGACCAGGAGCCCCGGGTAGCCATCATGCCCCCCCACGCCACACAAAGCCATCTGAGCGGACAGGACCACGGAGAGTGGACCTATGAGGAGCAGTTCAGACAGGTAGGATGTCTTCTTTATACGCCTCCTACTATTCTGATTGGGGTGTTGCTCTCATTTGAAGGGAAAATTGTTAAATTGTTGTTGCTAGTGGAGATTTAAAGTCAGCTGTTGAGAACCACATCAGCTTATTCCCTAAAATATCCCTAAATCAGCCGCTGTAGCACATTGAGAATCTACAATAATCCAATCACATCATGTCACCTTTCCAGCTGAAGTAATCCGACCAGGGCGGGAAATTAACACCAGCCACCAGCCAAATGTTGATAAACCCTTAACTGAGCTTTTATACGTGTGTCTTTGCCACCTGACATTCTGGTGGGCTACATCTGTTCAGTTTTTGCCAGGGTGGCTTAGTGCCTCCAAAGACTTGACATTTACTGACTGCTGTTGCCAAAGAGTGAAATGAATAGGACTGCTAGCTGAGGCGGAGGAGCTGAGGGAAGTGGGGGAGGGGAGGGGCTCGGTGCATTTTAACAGCTTTACCATGCTGGCGTTTACTGTAAACATGCTTGTGAGCTGGATATTATGAGGGAGGCCCTGGTGGAATAAGACAGGCTGTTTACATGAAGAGATTTAAGTCTGTCAACAGCTAAGTTAAGATGGAAGGAGGCTCGTGATAAAAAAGACTGTGAAACTCGTGAACGATATCAATAGTGAACTCACCATTCACTACAGAGGATTAAAAACTCAATCACTTGTTGAGATATTGAATTATTTGCATTTTCTGAACAATTACAGTAAATGTTACTACTAAAAGAATAGATACAAGCCTTTGAGAAAATAAATTACCTTTTCTGGCTACGTTTTTAACGTTTTAGCGATAGTAACATATTATTAAAATGTTCTTAATGGAATCAATGAATCAATTAAACCATTTCAACTTGCCCCTGCATTGCAAAACTAACAAACTAAGGCTGCTTTACCGGGATTAAAGTGTGGCACAATACTGAGCCACCATTTCATGCAAAGGCAGCTTATATGACACAACAGAAGCCACTATTGAAATTCAAACACACTCGTGGCCTGTAGCAATATCTAAAGCCATAAAACATTTTCTGACCGATCAGCAGCTTCTCTTTTAGATACCTCAACTCTTTTAGAAGATAAAACTGGTTTGGTATGTTTGGAGAAGATTCTAGAAATGTATATTGATGCCTTAAGGCTATGTTTGAGGTAAACAAGCTTAACCCCAACCATTTGCTTCATTTTTAAACCAAACCATTTATTCTGTAATTTAAGGCCCATTACTTGTAATTACAGAGTGTATGGAATAAAACTCCTCTAAAACCTAAACCTTCTCTAAATAGTCCACCACTCCCTCCGTAAATCCTTGAATTGATACCCTCAACAGTTAGTGGTTTTCATACGTTAGGTACGCAATGCACAACATTTTTATCATGGCATGTCAGTAAGTTGCTGACGGTTATATAATCAAGAAAGCCAGTATATTGGCTGTTAAGATAATGTTACCCAATCCATTGTTGATTACAACCGATGTCACGCCTATACAACGTCCCCATCTATAGGGGGACAGGGCGGAGGGGGAGAAACACACTGTCTGCTGGCATTTTTTGTCTGCATTTTAACATGGTTTAGGGAATAAAGCAACAACAGTCACATCTGTTCGCAGTGAGTTGTGGCTCTCAACCTCCTCACTGCTGATGGTTTATAATGTTGTGAATCCAGGATTTTAGTCCATGACTCATTTGGCCCTTGTATGATTACGGTGATTAGTAATAATTGCAGCCTTAGCCTGTGATTATATTGCTCTGTGAATGTGCCGTGTAAAGGAAAAGCAACCGACCTGTAATGACGAAGAAAGTCTGTCCGCTGATAATTCTAACCCAATGCAAATCAAACTCAGTCATTTCAGCTTTACTTTATATTTAGTGGGCGCCATTTTTCTTCTGCTTCTTCTTTTTCTATATGAAACTGGCTCTTGTGGTTTATTCTCATTATACAACAGTTAGATTATAGACCACAGTTTTGTCTGTTTCTTAAAACATGTTCAGTATAAACCGAAGCGGTTAAGAAATGTTAAATGTTGACATTATCTTGTAATATTTGTAAAAGTGGCGAGTCATACCAAAACAAAATGTCACAACTTACTTCAGCTGCATGCAATAAAATGTCCTGCCGCCTGAAACCTCACCGAATAATCCAATATGATGCAGCTGTCAAAGATTTCCTGCATTTCAAATTTGCGATTTGCGACAAGCTCTGAAACCGGCTTAAGTTAGCTTCATACTTTTACTCTGTGCCATGTTAGACAATTGCTACCCAAGACCCTCCTGCAATTATTCTATAAAATGTCGCTCTGCTTACTTACACATTAACGTTGAGTGTCACGCCGCTGTAGTTGAGGCAGATTTGCAACAGCAGATTACAGTTAAACTGAAATGAGCATAACACTTTTTAGCATTACAAACTGAATTCTAATCAAACTACTATAAATGCAGCGTCCCTAATTTACAAACACAGGAAAATATTTGTTCAAAATGATTGGAAGCGCAAACAAGAGATGTGTGGTTATTGTGAGGAACACCGTAGTTTTTCCTTTAATGATTGTTTGTTCTCTCCACATGAACTTCAAAAGTCCCTAAGAATCATGGGAGAAAATCATGATCTCCAGCCTTGTGAACTCTCATGTGTTGTTGAGTTGAATGGTGTGCAGATGCCGTGTTTCTGAGGGGCACACCGGGTGGGGAGGAAGGGGTTAAGGTTGTATAGTTTATTTTGGGCAGGTGGGTGGAGGCTGTTGGAATGTGCCTGAGGGAGGGTGATAATGTGGCCACTAGGAACCCCAGATCCTCAGCAGAAACCCTGCGTGCCTCTTATCAGTCGGCAGCAGTTGGAGATCTTCCAAGCGGAGAACTGTCCTTTCTCTGTGTTGTGTTTAAAGGCACGTCCTTTGTGAGGTCCCAATGTCACATACAGTTTCTCTATGAGCATCACTATAGGCTATAGCAATGCTTCACTTTTAGAAGGTGTTAGGAAATAAATGGAGAGAGGAGAGGAAATAGAAAAGAGAGATGCCTCACATGGGGAAGATGTCATTTAGAAAGTAAAGAAAACATATTTTAACATGTTAATAACTAATGTCCTAATGTAATGCATACATTTAAGAAGTTCAGTAAAGAAAGTCTGGCAAATGAGTCCAAAGAAATAGGTTGAATGTCACAGCACATCTAGATCCAAGGTGCCATGTATGTAAGTGAAGCAATCAAATACATGCTAAGGTGAGGTTGCCCCCAGGCTGTGTGAGGCTAACATTTATCAGCCGAAGCCCGACCTGTATTCCTGTTGGATCAGCCGTCCACCTTCCTATCTGCCCACTCTGAAAGGTCAGACTATATCAAGGCAGCGGTGTCAGGGTGCAGAAGAATTACTTAAAGGACAAGGATTCATGCCGATATCAAATTATGCCAGCATCGTTGGATCATTTTGTAATTGAAACGACGGCTCAGCTGAGTTATTTCAGGGATACCTCAGCAGCCCATATCAGTATCACTCTTTGGAATTTAACTTTTAATTTCCAGGAAATATTAACACCCTTTTCAATTTAATGGTATTTGCTTTCCAACAGCCAATAGGCTTGCAGGCATCTGTTCCAATCAGCAACCAACTGAATGAGGGAAAGGTTTGACTGTGGTTACTGAGTCACATAGGTTATATTTAAATGTTCTTTAGATTAAGTGCTGATATAAGTACAAAATTGGGATTATGTTTTAAAAAATAAATATTGTTTCTCTCTCAGTTTTAATAGGAGCAGTTTTCTTCAGTAAAACATTACATTGAGATATGTGGTTTATCCAGAATAATGAACTCATTGCTTTGAGAAAGAAGCTGTTCTTGAATTTGCCATTTTCCTCGCTTTGCCTCAAGCAAAACCCTTTTAATTCCATCGTGTTTGGATGGCAATTGGAAAAGAAGTCTATCGCCTATTATTTGAGAGTTATCCTGTTTTGAACAAACCCTCAATGTTTATGCTATTTGTGGTAGGAAAATGGCATGTGAGCAGGAGAAGCTCATGCTATGTTGAAGGTGTGCGCTGCAAATGTTCTAAGGTAGAACTTTTGTCTCAACCTCAGAGTTTACAGCCATGATCAACTATGATGGAAGAACACGGAATGATAAATTAGCTAGATAATGTGTAGTCAATGCTATGGTATCATAATATAACAGACCCACTCCCTGTCCCCCTTTTTATCAACAATATCCTCCTCAGGCCAGAATTCGTCCAAAGGCCATGCAGAGCCTTTGAAGTCTCCTCTCCTGTGTCTCTGTCTGCTTTAAACACCAGCAGCTGGGCAGATGGAGCCCAGATGGACAGTAAAGTAGGGATGTCTTTAAAAATTCATGGCACTCACCATGATCAGGGCGAATGGAGGGGAGTGTGCATTAAACATTAAATTGCTTACACACACACACACACACATTGTGAATGGGGGCAGGGACTGTTACTACAGGAAGTGTAGCTCGAATGAGAGCCAATTGGGAGCGACACTTATTGGGATTGCCCGTCAGGTTTCTGCTGATACAGCTGTCTGATAAGTGTTGTTGGGTTTATATCCCTCTGTTTTTTTGTCCAGGCCTTTGATCTCTCTTTGGGTTGTATGAATAGGATGGACCGTGTTGTTTTTATATTCAATATGAATGTATATTTTCCCAGCCGTATTTGTTTAGTGAAAAAACACTGGAAAGATGAAACTGAAAGCCGCTTTCAAATACAAATATTTACATTTGTCTGTAAATGAATTGCTAACGTCAAACAATGTTTTATAATTGTAAAATATATGTCTTTGCACAACTTGGTAATAACTCAAGCAACATTTTATAAATAAAGCAGGTTTTTTTCCAATCCATCCACTTGGAATTAACCAGTTATTTCTGGAGTACATTAACTCCAGAGCAACAAACTATTTGATCATCTGGAACCAGTTTTCCTTACCGGAGTAAGCAGGGGTTGAATGAATCTGCACTAGGGAGTTTTTATTTAA